CAAGTTCTATTTTTTTTATTTGTTTTTCATTTCATATTTAATTTTGTTGTCTAAAAATTATTTCGGAAAGTGCAATATTAAAATTTATTTCAATATTTTTCTCAACACTAAAATTCTGTCATTCTAAAAGTTATTCTAAAATCTTTCGGTTTAAAATAAATCTTTTATCTTGTTTTTTATCATTACTTAAGTATTTCTTATTTTAAGTATAAGTGAGTTTGCTTACGTATAACAAAACTCCCATTTATCTATTTAATCTCTTTAAAATACCTGGGCCCTCAGACTAATTACGGGAATTTCCCTGGGCCTTTTGCAAAGATCGAACGAGACACTTAATGACCACACTCGAATTATCTTTTACAATCGTTAAAATTTAAATAAAATTATACTCGATTTTTTATAATTAATAAATATGTAAAGAAAAATTTCTTTACATAACAATATCTAAATACGCATTTTGTAATTTTAAAACGAGTAAGAATTATTTTTTTTATTTTTATTCTATAAAAAATTTACTCTGTGGAGTTTTTTTTAGTTAATAATATAGATGAAATCCTTCTAAAAGTGAATTTAACCCCGAAGGGATTAAATTAATTGAAAATCATCCTTTCCGCAATTTTTTTACGGTGTAATAATAATAATTTTACAAATTAAAGCAGATTAATGTAAAACAGGAAGTAAATAGTTCAAGTCTTAAAATATCAAAATTTATTTTTCTTCTACGTCATAGGTATAAGTTTATTATACACTGAACTATCGTCAGTATATAAGTTGGCCGCATGGCCCTGCATAAACAGAGACCAGATATATACGGGCGGAAGTTGGTAGCCAAGTTCCAAGAAAAGATCCAAGATCCAAGTAAAATATGAATATCAATATACGATTTTAATATAATATGAACCCATGCCACACCTACTAAAGTATATAAATTATAAATAAATATTTTATTAAATATTAACCATCAGCACAGTAATGATAAAAATACGATAACCGTTGTTTCTTATCCGCGCGTATCTTGACATCCTTCATTATCGCACTTTTAGTTTACTCTTAGTTAAGTCGAGTCGAGACTTTTGTTGTTTTATTTTTATTTTTATTTTCATTTATTACTTATATTTTTTACGTTTTACTCTACTCGGCTTAAGATAGCGTATTCAATAACTAATTAGGTAATTACGACCACTTATCGTTAAATATTATTATTGATTCGTAATTAGTGATAATGGCGATGATAAGGATCGCCGATAATCACTCGAGGTCATTAAAGTAAACTGTAATCGTTTTTCCATTCGTACTTTTCTCAACAAACAAGAAAAAAAATTAGTAATTATTTTTTACGTAATTAAAAAAATCGATCAAATGCATTTATTCATTAAAAAAAAATTTTTTTAACATAAGACAAGTTGTAAAAAATTATTATGGTAG